GGAGTCGTGGTTGCCGACCTGAATAAGACGACGAAGTCTCATCCAGGGTCATGGCAAACTGTTGAGACTGACAGCTAACACGTGAAGCAGGTGCGTCGTATAATGCTAATGCAGCGGGAAAATAATGCGAGCTTGAACGTGATACTGGTGTCTTGTTCAGAGGTTGAAAGAGATTAGCAAAACGTCCAGTGTTATCGTGCATAATATTTTCGTTGACTTATGCTGCTTTAAGACGATCTATGCCAACCGTATCGATGCCGCCGTGTCGATCATTCTTGAAGGTTTTATCGTGACGTGAAATGACACCATACGGTCCTTCGTAAGGCTGTTGTAAAGGTTTACGTACCGAATCAACTCGAACGAATACGTGCGAACGGGATTATAATTCAGGGGGAAAAACAACTTCCACTGTTGTATTCTTATTTGCACATGAGACAGTGTTCGCATGAAAGCCGATAAATGTTGAACATATGTCTCTGTGCCAATGTGGAGAATAGTATGTCGCGTAAAGAATTTCTCAGAGTCGTAATGTCATGTCCACGACGAGTTCTGCGGCGGAACATTGGATTTCTGCCTTTGCACAAGTTGTGATTCCAAGCAGAACTAGCGTGTAGTGTCTTGAGACCAACAGTGTAACATGCTCGAGAGTGTCACCATCTTTGGTCTGCTTGTTCCGCATGCATGCTTTCACATGGTTGCGGGCATTGGTTGCTTGGAGCATTCGCTCGTGCATCCTTCTCTTTTGTAACATAGAATCCGCCAGGATCTTTGATATCCTGAGACCGCTTCTTCAGCTAAGTCTTTTGTCTTTGTTTAAGTCTCTACCACCTCCGGTGAAGTACGACTCACTTTAAACGGTGCGTGAGTCCAGTGCTAAGCATTTCCGCTTTCAGATAGTCTCGAGCATAATCAGGCTAAACTCCGGTGCTTCCACGGAACAATATATTTTCCCTCAGCCAACCAGTGTTTCTTCCTGATTCATACNAGAAACACGGGATATTTAGAGATCGGATCGTCATTGTGCATCTTGATATCGCTTGTCCACCATCTCTAAACTGGTGAGCCCGTTCCACTTTTCTGAATATTGGTATGTTTTTACGACTTCTTGTTTTCATTAACCGCCCGTGTTATTTTTCTCGATTTGTATATTTTTTTGCGCTACGAGGGGTGTAATTAATTAACTTTT